GGGTAGTTTCATTCAATAACTCTTCGAGCATTCATTAAAATATATATAATAATATATATAATGAGTGGGAAAATAGGGATTCAAATAACAGGGTGACAATTGAAAATATTTCTGAATACTACTCACTCACATATATACACAATCGATTGCTTCAAAAACACTTCACTAACTTTTTTTGAAAGCTTCTGATAATTTCTCTTTCTCTGTTTCACTATCACTGTCGTCATTTTAATCAATAATAATTCATTTTCATGGAAGTGGCGAATCTCAATATAGTCTTTTTCAACTGAAATTACTTTTTTGATCCTTTTCTGTCGGTCTTCTTCGGTAATATCAGATGCTTCTCCTTTAATTAGCTCTATTACCTTCTTGCAGGCATGTTAAGCGTACACATTCTCGAACCACCAGTCCACCCTTTCGTAACTGTGTCGTGACTGTCATACTAAGTTTCGTCCAAATAGAAAATTTGCCGTTATTCTTGTCTATATTTAGTTATTTGTTCTAGGTATTTGTTTACGCATTCCACTATTCTTCTGCTTTCCATAACTGCTTGACGTTTGTTTATTATTTTAAATCTAAATCCTAGTTTTCGTATCCAATTCTGAAGAGTTTTGTCACAGCAGCTCACGTTACGGCCGGAAGTATTCAATTTCTTCCTTATGATTTCAGTTGTAGGAATCTCATTGCTTTTGTAACAGTCATATATTGTTTTTTTCAATGAACACCTAAAGGTTTTGGTAATCCTGTATGACATCGCGTCTTGCGTTCATAAGATTTGTTTTTGACAATTTTACGTTTATTTGAGAAAGGAATTTTGGTCAAATCTGATGTTGCTTGTAATAGTTTGTTTCCTCGAAACCAAACTTGAGATGTAGATTCTTATATACAGTGGAATATACTCTCTGTGTTTCAATATTCAAATGCATCTGAATCTTATCCATCGTTATTGGCATCACTACACTGGAAAAAGTCTGCATTGTCATCACACTCGTTATTACTATTAGTATTTGTCCAAGGACGCCACATTTTATAAAGATAACAACAATTTCAAGGAATTATAACTGCACCAATATCGAATTTCAACACTTAAATCGCGATCAGTTCGTGAACTGAACAGGACAGCGATAACCATATCCTTCTTCTCGATTTCCATTCGTCACCGTAACATGACTTCAAATTTCATTTTATGACTCTTCAGCCAATCATAAAACTCGGTTAGTAAAAATGTTCAATACGAACTGGCAATTCTACGATCCATGTGGACTAGTTCGCAGGCAATTCATTTTTATGTATTGGTTTTTTTGCCCTATGAGAGTGCCGACTACTTCAAGTATGCACGATATCGTTTACTTCGACTATACATATGTTGATATTCCAGTAAAATGCATTTACCCCTTTTTTTCAGGGAGACTCCGGAGGACCTCTCCAGATATATCATGAAGACACAGCTGACATCAAGTGCATGTATGAAATAGTGGGTGTTACTTCTTTCGGACAGTCATGCGGCTTAGCAAAAAATGTTCCTGGTGTTTACAGCAGGGTATCGGCCTACGTTAAATGGATAGAAGATAATGTTTGGCCTAGATAAAGTAGCAACAGTGCATAATTGGAGCATTATTCTCAACCAGAACTGTGTTTATATTCAAATTCTCATATTTTTTACGTGATTCATTATAATTTTATAAATAATTTGGTTGGTTTTTTCGGTCTTAAATATTATAAATCAAAATCCCTTGCCGAGTCTGTCGGTCAGTCAAAAACTACCAAACGGATTTCCACACGGGTTTTACCAATGGACGAAGTGATTTGGGAGAATAGTTTAAATGTTCAATTTATCAATGTTTTGTGTGGATTATTTGAAGTATGACGAAGTTACTTATGAAAGGTAGGGGCGGTGGTGCAACTCTGCTATTTATTGTTGCAGTATAATTTCTCATAGAATAATTGTCTAGTTTCTGCACATAATCGATAAATTAAATCAAATTCATTATTTCGCAAAGTTCACAACTTTGTTCGTTTCTCGATGCATCTTCATCTTTAAATATCGCTTCGCATCAAGCACGGACAATTAGCTGCCCAATTGCGTGTAATATTCTCATGACTGGGTTAAAGAAGTCTAACAATGGTATTAATTATTTCAATTCGTGAACGGAGGCCTAGACCATTTCCAACATTATAAAATTCATATCAGTAGTAAAAGATTTCAGGCAGGAGCACCGTGTGTTTATGCTTTGACTGTGAAAAATACGATTGGGGATTGAATTGCCGTGTTCCATTTTTAACAACTATTGAGTGATTTTAGTTGTTATTTCCTCATTTAAAGGGGATACGAAGCTGAAAACATTCTTGAAAGCCACCATATATCAAAAGCATTTTTGTTTTATGCCATTGGATATCGTAAGCAAGGAATTTCTGAAATTCGAACGCCTGACGATTCTTGCTACTTCCTGGAAGTTGGGGAAGTGCAGTTTCAACCTCCCAGATTTCAGCCAACGAGGAGGAAGCTAATGAATTCGATGATTCATTCGATTCATTCCATGACCATTATTTCTTTTGATCATTGCCTTTTTCTTCTGACACACGATTTTGCCACCAACCTAGTTATTTTTAATCTAACTTGTTCATATAAATAAATTAGATCATCGAAAGGAACAATTCGTTCAGGCCAGTCTCAATTCCCTGCACAGTAGTTAGTGGACTGACACAAAACAACTACTTCCCTGGCTAATACCACGAAGGACTGGCTGATACCAACGCAGGATTCTTCACTGAAGTTATTCCTAAATATGATGTTGGCGATACAACTGCCGTAAGAGATTTTCAATCATTGGAACACACTTGCAGACCGGTTTCGGGCTATTTGGCCACTCGCCAGTGCAAGGTAGTTCCACATCAAGTCGATGATTTCCGATAATGAAAAATCGAATTCCTTCAAAGTATCATTCCTCGAACTTTATTTTGCGTAACCTCAGTTTTTTTAATGTTTCTGGGTGTTCCGAAATATTGTGGTCTGCTCTGGAATATTTTCTAATTTTCTAAACTATTTTAAATATTCTTCTAGCACCTATATCTTCAAGAACGCACCTTTTCAGAAAAAAACGGAAACCTTCTTTACAAATGGGTGATAGAAGGCTGGTTCAACAGTTACAACAGTTTAAAAAAAATACATTCTGAACGATTTGAATTCTACTCCACATTTCATTTCCAAAAAAACAACACCCGCTATTCGCTTTGTATTTAAAACTCACAATAACAAATATTACTTCCCAACAGCATTTTAATAATCAAATTGTGAAAGAGTTGACTTCATCAAAAAAAAATCATACACTTTCAAATTCATAGAACGTCTCAGCATCTCAACCGATGATCAGTGTAATTTTTGGAAGCCCAGATAAACAGGTGACTTTTCTCTCCATGTGTCACCCATCTTTGATACGGAGCAATCAACAAATACCCTTCTTGACAAGCGTTTCACCAACCAAGTCTTAGATCAGAACCTGGCCTCTATAATTCTAACAGAGACCACTTTCACTTTCAGACACACATCAATGATTTCAGAAAGGTATTCGCAGGAAATATCCTAATGAAAATTCCCTATAATTTCAACACAGCGATTCATATTAAGGTAAACCATGATCTGTATGGGGCATTTGTCACTGTTCAATGTTCACATGCTACCCCTTGATATGTTTCCAAACTTTCGAAAGCATCCAAAACATCCACCAATTCACGTTTCCTTATTAACTTATTTACTATTTTTGAGTATCGTATATTTCTTCACTGAAGAGGAACGTAACGAGCTTATGTACAAAATTTTAGTCCAGGCATTGTGTGTTGTGGACAGTGGTGTGAATTCTGGACTCTGATTACTTTTAATCGCTATGACAGACAAGAATGTCAACCCCTAGTTGTTTTGATTTCACATGTATATTCAATATTCACAGAGCTTCCTTTGAGAGTTGAAACAACGTCCTCTACCTCATTAGATTCCTTCAGAACATTTTTGTACAAGTAATCTTAGATGATTTTTCAAAATAGCTATAGCATGAACGCTGGTGTACCACAGAGATACATATTTTTTCTAACTATTTTTTATTGTGACAACAATGACCCAGTTCAATCTCTGGGTGATTGAAACACGTGTGGAGGTAATAATAATAATAATATGNCACTTATGAATTGTTTGGAGATAATAATAATGATAATATGTTTATTTATCAGCAATAAACAGAGTTTCCAGTACATCACATGCAATTTCAGATAGAATACAAAAAAAAACAGTCAATTGAATGGAATGTCCTAGATTTGGGTAATAAACATCGAGAGAACCCAATAAAACCCTAAGGTGGTTCATGGGAATCCTTTATCCTTTACTTATTGTGTTACCAAATAATCTTCGAACAGTATTTCAGTGTGAGTATTTACAAAACAATATTCTGGACCTGAGAAAAAGTGAATGACAATGAGAGCAGAATCGAAAATAAAGTTCATTTCTATAGCAATGAAAGTAGGGAAATTTCATCGCTATCAATTATATTATCAATTATAGTTGATATGAATAAAAATAATGGTTTGGTGTTGGCATAAAACTCCAGTACTATTGATCGATAACTCATTCAAAAACACCTGAAAACCAATAGACTGTTCTGTTAACAACAGCACACCTGTTTCTTCTTTCAAGTTATATATATATAAAATCGACAGGCATCGGTTTGCTCTGATGAGGTGAATGTGGTAGAATCGGACATAGTCCGAATATTTCTTGAAACCTCACTGGAACAGCAAAAGCAGCTTGTCAGGAAATTGGGACACTATTCTGTACGAGAGAAAGTTGAATACATCTCAATAACTTATAATGATTTATAAATCTCATTTCCATAGATACAGCTCCACCCCCAAGCAAACTCTGACGCTTATATTATTTATTCATTTTCATACATTTATTCAGCCACAGTACAAAATATTATTCTATTTGTGGTAGGTTCAGGACATAGCATAATACAATAAAATAAAATGAAATTCACATTCAAAACGAGGCTCCAATTCTCTCAATTATATAAAATTAAATTGGGTGAAGAGTGTTCCCCAATGGCATGTGTTGTAGTTATGACACTGTGTAGTTTCCCATGAACTCACACCAGCCTCCAAATACTCCCCCGCTGAGTAGAGTAGAAGTAGAAGCAATGTGACATCAAATATTTTCAGTTAGCTAATCTTCTCAGTTTACATAGTATGAAGAGAGTTGAGTTTGGACTTGTTTCTCTCACACAATTACTTTCACGGAATACTCGCATGTTTGACTGTTTTAGTTAGCATGCTTGATTCCGCCCAAGCGATTGAGAAGTTCGCGGCAAATCCAGCTAGCCGTAGCTCAACTCGTAGATTCAACTCATAATAGATCGAACAATACAGAACAACTTACTAGAATAAAAGCGACACTGTTTTTTGAAATGTAATATAATTTCCAGCGATTGAAATCCAGCATTAATCACCGCTCTCAGAGGGTCTTGAAAAATTTCCTGCAGTCTTTAAATCTATATAAAATAATCTAATCATATGATCAATCAACGTATACAAGAATTCAAAATGAAATAAATTCCAACTGATTTGATGAGTATCATCAAACATACCTTATGTAGAGAAAAACCCAGAACAAACAAATCCCGACAACTTCAATACAATAGGGACATGCATGGTAACAAGGCCGGTCGTTTCATGTTCTTCCCCATTGAATATCATCCATGATATCACCCAAATTGCTGAAAATTACCTTTTCTGTTGAAACTACATACTTCCGTTCCGATCGCTTCCATGCAGTGTCCATTTAATCACCTTAGATTATCACATTTGCCACATTTATAGTTGTTAGCACATCATGATCAGCTCGTTGATCTCACTTGCATTTTTTGTGTTGTGTTGTCTTGCAGGTACGAGTAATTCCAGTAAGCGAAGTGGTGAGTACCACAAACAAATAATTATCAATAACTACAAATTTTAGACAAAAACATTTTTGAAGTGTCCTTGAACAAATTGTGTCAAGTTGAAACTAAGGTCCATCGGTTTCAGAAAGAATTTAAAAACAGAAAATGATTTTCTTATCGACATATGGTGATTTTGGAGATTTCATTTTATTTGTGAATAAAACAAAACTGAATCAAAAAGTCTATATCATGTTAAACTAATGTTGCATTGCTTTTTTTAATCAATGTCCACGATAACAACTTCTAAGGTTATCAGTCTCGAGTTCTGGGTAGTTTCATTCAATAACTCTTCGAGCCACTAAGGAGTCCATTGAGCCATGTAACGTAACATAACCGTCAAAATCTCAACTAAAAGTTACCTTAGAAGACAAATATACATTTTTCGCTATCATTTTATTTCGGTATTGAGAGCACTAGTCTTCAAAATTATTCGCTTTCCCTTTCAAGTGACATTATCTTCAAGTCAATTGCCAATTTCTTTTGGAGAATATCTGGCTTATAGTACTACTTCATACAATTTTGCAATATACTACTTTTTTGTTAATGAATACATGATTTCCAGGTTCTCGTATCATGACGCCCAATGGAGAGTCTACAAATTATATACCACAACCACAACCAAGCTCCGTTCCATTCACGACACTGATAAACGAAAGTATGATGTTGACGCAGTCAACATTGAACCCTCCAGTAATGACAGTTGCACCTCCTGTATCCACGGGTACGGTACCTCCTGCAGATATTGCCTCAGTACCACCCATTCAAGTAGTTTACCCACCTATAGTTTTCACAGTGAACGAATCATTCATGTTGAATGGTACCTCATCAGCATCAAACCCTCCAATGGCGCCAGGTTCCCCATCATTTTCGCCTCCCATAACAACTGGTACGATAATTTCTAACTCACCTATAGTTCCCATTATAAATGAATCACTGATGTTGAGTAGCTCAACTGTGGGAGTTAATACAGTTTCAGGAAGTAATAGCGCAGATTTATTGAAACCGACACCACTTACTATAGATACTGCTTCTATGTTAACCAGTACATTGACTCCACCAAGTATATCTACAGTAACATCTCCACCAATAGATATAACAACTTTTCTGGTTTCTATCAATCAATCATTAATGATCCAACCTTCTTCTTCGAGTACTTCTTCACCTTCTGCAGTATCTCTTTCTCCTCCTACTACCGCTTTTGTAGTTACTCCAGGATCAGCTCCAACCACTGGTTCAGTAACAACTGGTATTTCAACCACTGCTTCTTCCGCCACCACACAATCTAGTACCTCTCCAATTGACTCTGTCGTTCCACTTTCAGCATCTTCTGTAGATACCGCATCTTCTTCAGAGGTAGAACTTAACATGGGTGTGGAGAAAACGGCTGAACAAACAATAACTTCGTGTTCGCGTTACAAAAATTTGCAGATGGTATGCTCAGATTCTACCACTGATGAGAAAATTGAAACCAACGCAATTATTTTAGATACGAATGAAATTTTGAATACCAGTCTTGCTGCTCCAGTATTTGAAATTGCAGTCCCCTCTGAAATTAAAATTTTTGTAAATATCACATCTAACCCAACTTTTAACATTCACATTTCTACTGATCCTCCTGTTACCGAAGTCACTGAAGATACTGTTATTATCGAGGTGATAAGAGAAAACGAACATTTCAATATATCAAATGTTCCATCTCTTCCTGTAAACATTTCTTCCGAACCTCCTGTGACTGAAGTCACCGAAGAAGCAGTTGAAATTATTGATGGGAACGAAAACATAAGCATGTCTCCACAATCTCAAGACATAATTTTTGAGGATTCCATTGAAAATACTGTTTCAGAAGTCCCTATTTATATTGATTTGTCAGATCCGAACAGAGTAGATGTCGATTTTGGTATGACAACGTCATCATCATCGCCTCTGACAACAGTTTCAACCACTACCAGTACTCCAGCAACCATACCAACTCCTGTACCCAAAAGGAAGTTTGAGGAGAGTAAGTATCATGGTTCATTCCGGCACAAACAATGTATAATAATAATAATTATCGCTTTTTGAAATTATCAACATCAATTACATTTTTCATTCCATAATGTTATAGTGAATGTTCCATTTTCAAGTGTACAATTTGCTCCTTGTTCAAGAATGTTAATTGTATATATTTAGTGTATTTATTCAATCCTGAATAGTTCTATATTCCTATTTTGTTAATAAATATGTAACAACTGATTCACAATTTGATCGTGTTCACTTTGTTTTATGAGAAAGTAATTTTCGTTATTTCAAAATTTCTATAATTAATTTCAATGTTTTACTCTAACAACTTGAATGAATACATTGTTATAAAAGTTATCGAAAATATTTATTGAGGTACGTAGAGCCGTATGGAAACGATAGGTATTTAACAAAAAACCCATTCATCTACTCTTATAATTTAAATTCGTTTAAACGACGTGGACAATCCCCGAAGTATAAGAAGAATCGGTGGAGGTTATTTACTTGTCGATGATCTAAACATAATCATCGAAACGTTCATCTACTTCAAACTATAATTTACTTTGATCCTACCAGTCACATTTGAATTGAAGAGGGAAATTCAGTTTTTTGGAGAAAAGCTTTTTATCTCTTTTTTCTTCAGTATTATACAAGAACTACCAGTGTAGTGTATGCACATTTTTCAAAGTTCAGTGATATAGAAATAGAAAGCCAAAGAGCTTTTTCCCAAACTACCATTCACAATTCTGATACTTACATTACTAGGGTGGTCCCAGAAATACACAGCCTGACCTAGAGATGACGGTAGTTGTTTGAAAAATATAATTCTAATAGAAAGTACACAATCTATAAAGCACATGTTTCACGTTTGAAGACGATGCGTTGTTTAGTATTTGTTTGGCAGCCATCAATAGCGAACGTTTTCGGTGAATTTGTGAAAATGGAGAAATTGATCATCGTAATGTGGTTAGGTTAAGTTAGGTTAGGTCCAAAGTAAGTGGGTCTATCCGACCCTCCGCCGCATCCCGAAGCCAATTAGTTTGTATGTTGAGTGGACTTACAGGTCAAATGGTAAGAGAACGGCTCTGCCGAACTCTAAGAAAACCTGATTCGGTCCCCAGCGGGGCAGGCACAAAGTATGTGCTCTGTTTCATCATTTTCCAAACAGAGACGACACACACTGTCTTCCGACAGTCCGAGTCTCTGCATATGATGATTCAAATGACAGTGTAAGAAGGCCTGTTTATCCCTACTGTTGTCCAACAACTGTTTGGTATCAAGCTTCGAAGGGTGAATAAACGCCTTGGATTGAGCCAATCCTGGAAGATTCTGCCAGAAGTACATAAATCTTCTTGCCATCCAGGTGTTCAATCTTTGTTTGATCGTAATGTGGTACAATACTTTTATTTGAAAGGATTCAGCCCAACCAATAAAAAAGCTGAACTGGATTCTACTCTGGGTGAGTATGGTTCTTCGTTTACAACAGTAAAATATAGGGTAGCAGAGTTTAAACGAGGCAGTACGAACTGCCAAGACGAGCATCGCAGTGGTCGACCAAATGAGGTGACGACTCCAGAAACGGTAAAGAAAATCTACAAAGCCGTACTGAATGATCGTCAACTGGAAATGCGCGAGCTAGCAGACTCAGTAGGCATTTCAAAAAGTGCGGTACACCGTATTTCATCTGAAAATTTGGACATGAGAAAGCTGTGTCCAAGATGGGTGCCGCGTTTGCTCACCCTCGAGCAAAAACAGCGTCGTGATGATGTTTCAATTGAGTGTTCAACAAAGTTTCACAGCAACAAAGCGGAATTGTTGCGTCGTTCCATAACTATGGATGAAACGTGGGTCCATCACTTTACACCCGAGATAAAAGAACAATCAAAACGGTGGACTCAAAAGGGAGAACAATCCTCCATTGTCTAACGTGATTTAATATGATTTGAAATTCCTGAAAGAACAATTAAAAAAATAAATTGAAATGAATAGCTCAAAATAACAATATATTGAGCAAAAAATGGATGGACAATGGAAGTCCGAACTGATGAAATTCACCATGTAACATTGTCTACCACCTTCAAACGAGGCGAAGACCGTTTAATCCGTGGACAAGGTCATTTCATCGGAGTTTTGGGATGCGCGTGGGATAATTTCGGTTGACTATCTTAAAAAAAGTAAAACTATCAACGACGGGTATTATGCGAACTCATTGCAACGTTTGACTGAAGAAATCAAGCAAAAACAGCCGCGTTTGTCTGAGAAAAAATGTTGTTTCATCAAGGCAATAAATCAGCTCACGAATTCATTATCGCAATGTCCAAAACTGACGAAATGGAGTTTGAATTGCTACCTCATGCACCGTTTTCGCCAGATTTATCCCCCTCGGATAATTTTCTGTTACTGAACTTGAAAAATTGGATCAGATTTTCCAACGATGTAGAAGTGATGTCAGCAGTTAATGGGTATTTTGAGGAGCAATACATTTCTCATTATAAAAATGGTATCAAACTCATTGAAGGTCGCTGGAAAAATTTGTATAGGACTGCAAGTAGATTACGTTGGAAAATAAATACTTTTTTTCCAAAATTTTGTGTTTCCTTTGTTGGGCCGTATACTTCTGGGACCATCTTCTATGTTATTCATATTTCTCACCACGGTTCATGAAGGAATTTAAAAATCAAAGTATATTTGAATATATACTGAATGGTAATTATTCATAGTTTTTGTTTTCAGAGTGTTTGGAGTATTACAATATTGGCAAAAGAACAACTAGAAAAACTAAAGTTCAAGTTTTCATTATTGGTGGTGAAAATTCGAGAGAGAAAGAATTTCCTCATATGGTAAGATCTATTATGAATGAATGATTTTCTTTGAAATCTTCATTTAAATTTCATGAATTTCACTATAAAGGCGGCTTTGGGCTATGGAAAACAAAACCAACAACAGTGGTTATGCGGGGGAAGCCTGATCAGTGAAAATTACGTGTTGACAGCTGCCCATTGTTTAACAGCAAAATCTCTGTGAGTATCCATTTTTCAAACTCTGTGTAGCAAATCATTCTTGATATATTGAATAGATTCTTTTTTTCTGATTTCAATTCCATTGCTTTCAGAGAATAATGTGTAAAGGTGACCTAGTGAATAAATGCTTGTGTTTTTGAATAGTTTATCTTGTGAAAAAGAAGGCTGAAAAGTTGCCATTTTTTTAACTTTGAAGAGCCGTTTTTTTTCTATCGGATTCGTAAACTACGCATTAAAATACGCAAGTACACTCAAATTTTTTTAAATCGCCGGGTTCCCTCAAAACGAATATTTACATTTTCTCTTCATATATGACCTAAGGAGGACAACTCCTCCCGAGGAGTTGTCCTACTAGGTCATCGTCATTCCTGTCCTTTCCAGGAAGGTGGACAGGTCCCTAAAAGACATCTTCTTTATATCGGCAGGTGTAGGCCAAGACTCGCCGAACACACACTCTCTTATTGACGATAACTCCGCACACTCGTATAGGACATGCCTGACAGTTTCATCTTCCTACTTACACATCCTGCATAGAGGTGTGTCCACCAGCTTCATATTATGGAAGTATTTCTGTTGACAGTGGCCAGTCAGAAAATCTACTTTCAAGCCTAGGTTGTCCCCCTCAGATATAATACACTTGTGCCACCTTTTTTCCAATCCCCAAAGTAGTTCTGACATGAACTTTTGGGTATGTCCATGAGCTCTCTCAGCGATTAGGTTTTTATCTCCTCAATCGTCGCAAAACACCGTCTTTTCATGGGTCTCCTCAATCTTGGGAACAGAAAAAATTCTCAGGGGCCAAATCTGGTCAATACGATGGGTGAAGCCTGATTACGGTGTTGTTTTTGGCTAAACAATTTTGAACAAGCAATGACGAGTGAGCAACGTTATCTTGATGCGGAAGTCATGTACTGTTTTCTCACAATACCAGAAATTTTCTTCGTATTGTTTCTTGCAAGCGGCATATAACTTCCAAATAATACTTCTCATTGATCGTACGACTATGTGGTAAAAACTCCTGATGCACTACGCCACGGTAATCAAAGAAAACATTGAGCAAAAATTTGATTTTTGATCGAACTTGACGTGCTTTTTTTGGTCTTGGCTCTCCTGGGCTCTTCCATTGGGAACATTGGACTTCGTTACCACACGCTTCATGCGTGTGGCAACGCATGAAGCAACATCCACGGCAACTTTTGGATCTGAATGAAATTTTGAATGCCAGTCTTGCTGCTCCAGTATTTGGAATTGCAGTCTCCTCTGAAATTAAATTTTTTGTAAATATCACATCTAACCCAACTTTTAACATTCGCATTTCCACTTATCCTCCTGTTATTGAAGTCACTAAAGATACTGTTATTATCGAAGAGAAAAGAAACATTCCAATATATCAAATGTTCCATCTGTTTTCGTAAGCGTTTAATTCGACGATCATCCATAACTTTTTTCTTCACTTTATCAAAATTTTCATCGGTTATTGATGTGCTGGGGCGTCCAGCGTTGTCATTCGCATATTCTCGACCTTCTGTGAAAAGCTTGTACCACTTGTAAATATTTGTCTGACTCAGAAAACAATCACCGTATGCCACTATCGGCATTTCAGGTGTTTTGGAGCACTCAATTCCATGTTTTACACAAAATTTGGTGCAAATTCGTTTATCCTATTTCCCATAGCAGAAAATTGCCGAACACGCAGAACACTGTTAACTTTCATGCCTCTAACCAACAAACTAAATATGCTATACAGCTGAAACTGTGAATATATATTCGAAACGAGTGTACCAATATAAAAAAATCGCTAATCAAATGTACGCAGCCCGTAAAATTTTAATATTCACCATATTTTTTGAAAAGCCCACTACACTCTTATCTGTTCAATTGGTAACATTTCAAGTTTATGGTTGAATACTATTAGAGTTTTTTCCCAACACCATACCGTTATTTCAACACCTATATACGTGTTTCGATCACCTAGTTATCATCTTCAAGAGGAATATCAAACAGTTTGATCGTTCTCTTGAAGATGACCCCTTGGTGATCGAAACATGTGTCGAGGTGTTAAAAAAACGATTTGGTGTTGGGAAAAAACTCCAGAAACATTCATTACTACACTAAAGGTTTCTGGTTGACGGTAATTTTTTGTTTGACATCGAGGTAATTGATCCTGTGAAGCAGCAATGAAATGAAATTCAAATTGTGTTTATGTTATCAAAAAAACGAACAAATAAAAAATTGCATATTTCCGACTATTATTTTCAGATCTTAAATATACAAAGTGAAAACTAAATATATTTGGTGTCTGTCGTAAAAACTAGGAGGCGATATAAGACCATAAGCTTTCACGGCTGGAGTGGAGTCACGAATAAAGAGAACAAAATCCGGGGTGGTAAGCCTGAAGTACTTCAGGTTCCATTCAAACACGGCCTAGTAGCTCGAATTTATTCTCTCAAACTAGGTGGTGATGTTTGTTGTTTCTGAAGAGTGAAAACACCTTCAATATCCAACTGATCTCGTCCGCGGTAAAATTTGAAACTAGTCCAATTAGCTAAGTTACAAGATGATCGTGTGAAAAAAAATACAGTACAGAAACTAGTATTTTGGCAAAACATTCGAACCGAGCTATTTAGCCTGAAACACTTGTATACGGGTGTTTGTTATTTTAATTTTTTCATCCTACGGGAAACCTGCATCATGTTAATATATTGAGAAAGGGGGCAAATAAAGCTCTCTAAGAAAAAGGAGTTGAGACTTGCTTCCGGTTGAAATGTATTGAATTTTTCATTTTTTTTTCAAATAATAGGTAAACGTTTTCTAGAAACTTTTCATTTATTTTTAATTCTTCACATATTCAAAAAATATAATCAATAATTACTCCATTCTTATTTTTTCAATACACATACGAAACGGATCACAAAACCGCGACACGTGTTTTACTGTACGAAAGCTTCTTCAGGCGTATTCAGTATCAATGTAATGTGTTTTTGTATCTCCATATATCAATTGATATTAATCTACTGTGTCGTAGTTATATACTGATCGATAGAGAATTTTGTACTCTATACATTGATGCTGTTCTTTTTGTTTCCAAATTATAATTTTTTGCCCCTTCTCAGCTTGAGATGTCGTTGAGCGTCGATGTCAACCTACAGTAATCCAGAACGAGGATTTCGGTTTCCCATGTTTTAAAATATATTGGAAAGGTCAAAAAGCTCGAAAAGTATGTGCCCCACGATTTGAACTATCGACGGAAATTGTCATGTTCCGAAGTCTGTTCTTCTTTGCTTTTGCGCAACTAAAACGATCCCTTTTTGGATCGGATAGTCACGTATGATGAAATGTGGATCCTCTATGACAACAGGAGACGTTCAGGACAATAGTTGGACGCCGATGAGCCACCCAGATACTTTCCAAAGGCAAAAACCCAGTTAACAAGAAATACAATCCAATATTGTGTACATATTGAACTGTGGAAGCTGTCACAAATACAATGTTGGTCAAACCGGGCGGTATCTTAGAACACGAGTTTCAGAACACATGAGAGACTCTAAGACACTGAATATAAAAAACCCCACAGCTCTTTTTGAACATGAAAAAGAATATGGACATATTTTTGACTTTGATCATCCAAATATTCTGGATGTTCAACCATATTTATCCAAAAGACTTTTGAGCGAAATGATACATATCCTCAAATGCGATAGTGTTAACACTAGAAGAGATGTCGATAGCCGTAATACTACGTAATACAATTTGATACGTAAAATACCTGAATAATTTTCAATTTCTTCATTCTTTTTCTTTCTGCCATTGATTAAAAAACAGACACCACCTCATCAGAATCACAAATAAAGCCATGCGTTTGTTTCATGTCCTTTTGGGTTGGTGTTGTCTCGGAAATTTGCTGTTGCTATGTTTTTTATTTTTATTTTTTAGATATGTATCTAATACGTCTGATGATTTTTGAAATAGTATTATTATCAATACGAAAAAAATATTTTTCAGTGACTAATTTAATTAAGAACTCATTATTTCTTGTGAAATTGAAACGATAATAATCGTATAAGTTTTGTAGAAGGTATATTTATGGAAATTCATTGTCTCAGAGCCCTAAAGAAAAATTTAATTAAATTTGAAACGTCACATGAATACATGTGTTTTTTTTTAAGAAAAAATTGATCCTGTTACCCAACCAACCCCTTTTTTGAAAATATTATTGTATCACTAAGCTAGTTAACTAAAAAAGATAATGGTTACTGTATGGTGGTCATCAGCTGATATGATCACAGCAGGGTCCAATTGTGAGGAAATTGACAAAATGTACGGAAAACTCCGTCAGCAGCAGCCGCCACTGCGAATTGAGCGAATTGAGCATCAAGTTCTGCTTCACCCAGCATATGCCCCAGACCTCTCGCTAACCGATCACTATATCTTCAAGCACTCCGATAACTTTCTCACCGGTGGAACCATCGCCAATTAGGACTAGGCAAAAACGGCTTTTGTCGACTTCATCGAATCCTGTGGACACAATTTTCATACTCACAAAATTAGTCAACCTGTGTTACTTATGATGCACTGTTTGGAACCTTTGGTGTAGTAATGAATATTACTACCCTCATACGAAAGACAACTCTCAGAAGTTGAGAAACTTTTGCGAGTTAAGGACTAACGAGGTCTTACCTTTTAACGTGTAATTCCTAACACGGAATCTTCTACTCTCTTCTACTCTCCAATTTAACTGTATTTTGAAAGTGTTTTTCTTATCCTTCGGCATTGCAATGGTTTTTTTATTATGGCTTTACAATTTGTTTTTCAATCTACATTGGTACATCCCAATTCGTTATAGTTTAATATATTTACTGTTCATTTCCATATTTCTCAAATGAATTCTTCTTCAAATTTGAAATATTCATCACTTAGTCAAAAAACGGATATGAACTTCATTATCAATTTCATTTATTTTCTGTCTAAATTACTAAACAACTCTTTCTGAATCATGAGTTGCCAAGTTTTATGAAACAATAAGAAATTATGACTACGTAATGTTGGCCTCAACACTTCTCAACCGAAATGATTCTTCAATTCAAATGTATATGTTGGTGAAATTTTCATTTCAGAGGTGACATTCAATACGTCAGACTTGGAACTACTACTCTCCAAACGGAAACTTTGAATTCCGAAGATTTCAACGTAATCAGGAGGATTCCTCATCCGGGTTATGTCCAAGGAAAACAGTACAACGATATCGCATTGCTTCAGTTGGACCGACCTGTTGATTTCTCAGATTATATTGCACCAATATGTTTGTCAGACTTTAAGGATTTTGTCAACACGAAGTTGATAGCTACGGGATGGGGAAAAGTTGAAGCAGATGGTATCGGCAGTCCAGAGTTGCAGAAAGTTGAGCTAGAATATTATCCTAATGATGTTTGTCAAGTGGCTTACGACAGTATTTCCTTGGAAGACTTGCCGAATGGAATATCAGAAGAAACACAGATTTGTGCAGGAGCCTTCGACGGGTCAAGAGACACTTGCCAGGTAGTTTTTTTTTGTGTGTATTTCATAACCTAGATATTCTTCTGTATTTAAGGATCCATAATTCCAAAGGACAAGTGCAAAAACTCATCTCATGATTTGAGTATCACGATTGATTTCAGATTTACAAATTGAATATCTGATTGAAGATCTGAAGAATATATCATGTTAAACTAATGTTGCATTGCTTTTTTTAATCGATGTCCACGATAACAACTACTAAGGTTATCAGTCTCGAGTTCTGGGTAGTTTCATTTAATAACTCTTCGAGCCACTAAGGAGTCCATTGAGCCATGTAACGTAACATAACCGTCAAAATCACAACCTCTGGATACTCTTGTACTGCGGTAATTCATCGCTGCGTTAATTTTTCATTTTGTTTTACAAGAGGGAAAGATAGATAGATTTGCTCTGTAAACAGAAGACTTGATCTCCTTGTGTACAATGGTTCGGGGCAAAGGCACAATGAGGAATAGGAAATCAACGATAATAAAATAAGAAGAGGAATCAAATAATTAAATCAGGCTACGTGTACCTCTACTATCAGGTCATTCTATTAAACCAAGAGGGACAAAGCTATGATCATCACCATGAGATCAAACCAGAGGCAAAAACCGATATGCTTTGATATTCGTTGCCTTATCGTCTTTGATAATATCTACCGCAGTCGTAGGTGAAACGTCGGGCATATAACTACGCCGACCATATCCATCAAACTGGGGAATCAGCTTTCACACGAAGCTGTAAAACATTCAGTGAACTGCAGAATATATATGAATGTACTAAAAGTTACCTTAGAAGACAAATATACAATTTTCGCTATCATTTTATTTCGGTATTGAGAGCACTAGTCTTCAAAATTATTCGCTTTTCCTTTCAAGTGACATTATCTCCAAGTCAATTGCCAATTTCTTTTGGAGAATATCTGGCTTATAGTAATACTGTACACAATTTTGCTATATACTACTTTTTTGGTAATGAATGCATGATTTCCAGGTTCTCGTATCATGACGCCCAATGGAGAGTCTCCAAATTACATACCACAACTACAACCAAGCTCCGTTCCATTCACGACACTGATAAACGAAAGTATGATGTTGACGCAGTCAGCATTGAACCCTCCAGTAATGACAGTTGCACCTCCTGTATCCACGGGTACGGTACCTCCTGCAGCTATTGCCTCAGTACCACCCATTCAAGTAGTTAACCCACCTATAGTTTTCACAGTGAACGAATCATTCATGTTGAATGGTACCTCATCAGCATCAAACCCTCCAATGGCGCCAGGTTCCCCATCATTTTCGCCTCCCATAACAACTGGTACGATAATTTCTAACTCACCTATAGTTCCCATTATAAATGAATCACTGATGTTGAGTAGCTCAACTGTGGGAGTTAATACAGTTTCAGGAAGTAATAGCGCAGATTTATTGAAACCGACACCACTTACTATAGATACTGCTTCTATGTTAACTAGTACATTGACTCCACCAAGTATATCTACAGTAACATCTCCACCAATAGATATAACAACTTTTCTGGTTTCTATCAATCAATCATTAATGATCCAACCTTCTTCTTCGAGTACTTCTTCACCTTCTGCAGTCTCTCTTTCTCCTCCTACTACCGCTTTTGTAGTTACTCCAGGATCAGCTCCAACCACTGGTTCAGTAACAACTGGTATTTCAACCACTGCTTCTTCCGCCACCACACAATCTAGTACCTCTTCAATTGACTCTGTCGTTCCACTTTCAGCATCTTCTGTAGATGCCGCATCTTCTTCAGAGGTAGAACCTAACATTGGTGTGGAGAAAACGGCTGAACAAACAATAACTTCGTGTTCGCGTTACAAAAATTTGCAGATGGTATGCTCAGATTCTACTACTGATGAGAAAATTGAAACCAACGCAATTATTTTAGATCCGAATGAAATTTTGAATACCAGTCTTGCTGCTCCAGTATTTGGAATTGCAGTCCCCTCTGAAATTAAAATTTTTGTAAATATCACATCTAACCCAACTTTTAACATTCACATTTCTACTGATCCTCCTGTTACCGAAGTCACTGAAGATACTGTTATTATCGAGGTGATAAGAGAAAACGAACATTTCAATATATCAAATGTTCCATCTGTTTCTGTAAACATTTCTTCCGAACCTCCTGTGACTGAAGTCACCGAAGAAGCAGTTGAAATTATTGATGGGAACGAAAACATAAGCATGTCTCCACAATCTCAAGACATAATTTTTGAGGATTCCATTGAAAATACTGTTTCAGAAGTCCCTATTTATATTGATTTGTCAGATCCGAACAGAGTAGATGTCGATTTTGGTATGACAACGTCATCATCATCGCCTCTGACAACAGTTTCAACCACTACCAGTACTCCAGCAACCATACCAACTCCTGTACCCAAAAGGAAGTTTGAGGAGAGTAAGTATCATGGTTCATTCCGGCACAAACAATGTATAATAATAATAATTATCGCTTTTTGAAATTATCAACATCAATTACATTTTTCATTCCATAATGTTATAGTGAATGTTCCATTTTCAAGTGTACAATTTGCTCCTTGTTCAAGAATGTTAATTGTATATATTTAGTGTATTTATTCAATCCTGAATAGTTCTATATTCCTATTTTGTTAATAAATATGTAACAACTGATTCACAATTTGATCGTGTTCACTTTGTTTTATGAGAAAGTAATTTTCGTTATTTCAAAATTTCTATAATTAATTTCAATGTTTTACTCTAACAACTTGAATGAATACATTGTTATAAAAGTTATCGAAAATATTTATTGAGGTACGTAGAGCCGTATGGAAACGATAGGTATTTAACAAAAAACCCATTCATCTACTCTTATAATTTAAATTCGTTTAAACGACGTGGACAATCCCCGAAGTATAAGAAGAATCGGTGGAGGTTATTTACTTGTCGATGATCTAAACATAATCATCGAAACGTTCATCTACTTCAAACTATAATTTACTTTGATCCTACCAGTCACATTTGAATTGAAGAGGGAGATTCAGTTTTTTGGAGAAAAGCTTTTTATCTCTTTTTTCTTCAGTATTATACAAGAACTACCAGTGTAGTGTATGCACATTTCTCAAAGTTCACTGATATAGAAATAGAAAGCCAAATAGCTTTTTCCCAAACTTACATTACTAGGGTGGTCCCAGAAATACACAGCCTGACCTAGAGATGGCGGTAGTTGTTTGAAAAATATAATTCTAATAGAAAGTACACAATCTATAAAGTACACGTTTCACGTTTGAGGACGATGCGTTGTTTACCATTATTTTGGCAGTCATCAATAGCAAACGTTTTCGATGATTTTGTGAAAATGGAGAAATTTGGTTATCGCAATGTGGTTAGGTTTAGTTAGATCAGGTCTAAAGGCTCTGCACCGCAACCCGCAAGGGTTTATTTGTGGCTCACAACTATTCACACTCGACCAAATAAACCCAGCTTCTTAACGAAGCCGATTTTTGTATGGTGAGTGGACTTACAGGTCGAATGGTAAAAGTACGACTCTGCCGAACTCTAAAAATCTGATTCGGTCCCCAGCGGGGCAGGCACAAAGTATGTGTTCTGCTGTTTCATCATTTTCCAAACAGAGATGACACACACTGTCTTCCGACAGTCCGAGTCTCTGCATATGATGATTTAAATGACAGTGACCTGTAAAAAGGACTGTTCATCCCTAGTGTAGTCCAACAACTGTTTGGTATCAAGCTTTGAAGGGTGAATGAACGCCTTGGATTGAGCCAATGCTGGAAGATTCTGCCAGAAGTCCATAAATCTTCTTGCCATCCAGGTGTTCAATCTTTGTTTGATCGTAATGTAGTACAATACTTTTATTTGAAAGGCTACAGCCCAACCAATATAAAATCTGAACTGGATTCTACTCTAGGTGAGTATGGTCTTCGTTAACAACAGCAAAATATCGGGTAGCAGAGTTCAAACGAGGCCGTAGGAACTGCCAAGACGTGCATCGCAGTGGTCGACCAAATGAGGTGACGGCTACAGAAACGGCGAAGAAAATCCACAAAGCGGTACTGAATGATCGTGGACTGGAAGTGCGCGAGTGTGTCCAAGATGGGTCCCGCGTTTGCTCACCCTCGAGCAAAAACAGCGTCGTGATGATGTTTCAATTGAGAGTTTAACAAAGTTTCACAGCAACAAAGCGGAATTGTTGCGTCGTTCCATAACTATGGATGAAACGTGGGTCCATCACTATACACCCGAGATAAAAGAACAATCAAAACGGTGGACTCAAAAGGGAGAACAAACCTGCATTGTCTAACGTGATTTAATATGATTTGAAATTCCTGAAAGAACAATTAAAAAAATAAATTGAAATGAATAGCTCAAAATAACAATATATTGAGCAAAAAATAGATGGACAATGGAAGTCCGAACTGATGAAATTCACCATGAACATTGTCAACCACCTTCAAACGAGGCGAAGACCGTTTAATCTGTGGACAAGGTCATTTCATCGGTGTTTTGGGATGCAATGTTGTTTCATCAAGGCAATAAATCAGCTCACGAATTCATTATCGCAATGTCCAAAACTGACGAAATAAAGTTTGAATTGCTACCTCATGCACCGTTTTCGTCAGATTTATCCCCCTCGGATTATTTTCTGTTACTGAACTTGAAAAATTGGCTCAGATTTTTCAACGATGTAGAAGTGATGTCGGCAGTT